TGGAAGAAAATAAGACATCATAACAGCTAGTGCTGATTTAATATTATCTTGTTTTGAAGTCCCATAAAACTGTTCCTCTTCTGTCTCCATTGGTTTTTATCATGTTATACCTTATTGGATTTTATTATATGTGATAGTATAAATAAAATTCTTATAGGCACAGAGATAATATAGAAACCATTGTTTGTTTTCTGTTAGCTTATTCTATATACCCTGTAATACTTTCATCCTCTTGAATCGTTTCACACTGTCTTGGTATGTTTGATGCTATAGTATACAAAGTTATACTCAAATATTTCAAGGAAAGAGACACTATGGTAACTACTAGTAAGTCGGGTTATCTTGTGGTGAAACACTATTTTGCTTAAATTATTCTGTTCTGACCTGCATTGTTAGGTTATGTACTCTTTTATCTCAATCTCCCCCATTTTAAAAATTTATTTATTATTATTATTTTTAATTAAGGGAAAACTTTAAAAAATTTGCAGGATATATTACAGTAACTTTTTTGAATTCTTATTAACTTGATTTGAAGTTCTGTATTGCTCTCACCATATTTTTTGACTGATTTTACTATATTCTGTTCTGTTTCATGGTATCAAGTTTGAGGGTATAGGCAACTACTTTGAAGGCAATAAGATTCACTATGATGACCATTCTGGTTTGACTATTATCTTCTTTACAAGTTCAGTAATGTCTCCAATGTTTAGGATTTATTTGTTTTGTTCTGTGCTGCTTTGTTCAATTTCATTATACCTGATGATATAGACAATTCCTTTTAAGGTAGCAAGAGGCATTATGGTAACCATTGTTGCTAACCTAGTATTCTGTTTTTATATCATGTACTATGTCCATCATTTGTTTTGATTGACTGCTTTGTTTTGTCACATTTGGTTTTATTCTCTTCGAAAAAAAAGTAGTAAGAACTGTGGGAGTAATAAAATCCAGTATGTGTAAATGTTATCGTAAAAATCAAAGTGCTCTAAAGGACACAACTGCAAGTGTGTTTAGGTGTGTTAGATAGATGACCATATTACTAAGTTTTGTTGGATCATTGAACACAATTCTTTGCAGTCTCACTGTTTGAATGTCCACTTTGTATGCTTTAATTTTGTAACTTGAACAACTATTTCTAAGATGACAATATGTAATCTATTAACCAGTGATTTATTACTGTTTATTTTTATGAAATTCTGTATTACTTGTTCTGTTTTACTGTTTTTTACCTTTAAATAAAATTCAAAATAATAAAATAAAAAAGAAAGAAAAAGAAACATAAAACCAATGCATAGAATTGAAGAGTGTTACTAATACAGATGATTAGTTTAAATACATCAGTGCTTTTGTGAGTGGTTTAAATAAAACATTTAAAAATAGAAACGAGATGCATATAGACTTCATTATATGTGTTCTACAAGAGATCAATTTTAAATATAAGGACATTACTTAAAAGTAAGAAAGAATTGTATTCCAAGTAAGTCAAAAGAAAACTGTAGTTCTTATATTATTTGAGATAAAAAACAAAACAAAACAAAAAATGAGTATAGAACTTAATCAGAGATAAATAAGGCTTTAGATTATCATAAGGGTCAAATTTCCAAGAAAACATGGCAATACTTAGAAGAGATGTACCTTTTAATAAGACATGAAAAATTCTCAATGTACTCGTGTAGTGACGCATGTCCATGGTCCTGAGAGACGGAGAGAGAAGAAGCACCTCAGCCTAGAAATTTAGGGCCACTCTGGGAAAAATACGAGATTCTGTCTCAGTAAAGTAATTTTTCAAAAAAAGTGCTAACTACTAAGAGAACCACATACCAAACCCACTATTAGGGTTGGTGATGTCAACATTTTTCTTTCTATAACTGGTAGACTTACCATGCAGATAGGAATTAAACATTTCATGATCTGAATAGCGCTATAAAGAAGTTTGATGCGCCTGACATTTAAAGAATAGGCCACTTGACACCAGCATGCACCCACATGGAATGCTCATAATGATCACATTTGGTACAGGTTAACAATGTTTTTAAAATGATAGTCATGCAAAATAGCTCGTATGATTATCAGACAATTAAAGAAGATGCCAATAATAAATGATATATAGAAGTTGAAAACTGGAGATTAGAAACACATTGTTTAATCACACCTGGCTCAAAAGGACTGAAAAAAATGTGAGAGAAGTTAAACCAAATGAAAAGCAAAATAGATTTATCAAGATATGTGGAATGTCACGAAAACAGAGCTTAAGGTCCCATAACAGGTACAGAAAATAAATAATTTTATTTACTTTAATTTTCACCAGTTAATTAGTATTTGTTTGATCACACTAAACTAACTTAAGTGTTTAAATGTACCTTAGTACCTTTGATCAACAAGTCCCCATCATTCCTGTCTCTTCTCATCCTCTTTTTTTTTTTTTTTTTTTTGATAGTCACCTTTCTCCTGTCAACTTTTATGAGATCAAAGCTTTTAGGTTTTTACATACGAATGGCATCACAAGTATGTCACAGGTCCTTGTCCTCCTGTGCATGTAGTATTTCAGTTAATGCAATAATCTAGAGTTCTGCCCATATTGTTGAAACGGCAGGCTTTCACCTTTTATGGCTGAATAGTATTCCAATATGTACATGTACCGCGTTTTGACCCCCTGTCAGATGACTGACACTTAAATTTGTTTCCACTTCCTGGATCCTGCAAATAGTGTTGCAATGAAAAGTGAGAATTCAGACGTTTCTCTGACATGCTGTAGTAACTTAATTTCTTTTGGACATATCCCTAGGAGTGAAACTATTGAATCGTACAATAATTCTCTTTCTAAATTTTTGAGAAAGCTGTATATGATTTTCCATAATGGCTGTACTAATTCACATTTCCAGCACCAATATGCAAGTATTCCCTGTCACCACTTTTAATCTTTCTTTTGGTTAAATAGCCATTCTTACTGGGTGGGATGTGATGATAGCTCACTATGGGTTCAAATTTGGTACTCTGAAGATTAGTCATTTCGGGCATGTTTTCCATGTACCTCTTGGCAATTTGTATGTATTCTTTAAAGAAATCCATGCTCATACTTACTGCTCATTTTAATTGATATGTTAGTATTTTTGTTATTGGGTTTTTGGAATTCTTTATATATTTTATATATTAGCCCCTTGTAAACATGCAGATATTGGTTTTTATTATCATTCACAGATTAAAAGACTAAGATTTCTTGGAAAACTGTCTTGTTTTATACCAGAGTAAGCAAAAGTCAAGTTGGGCAATCTTTTAGTGACAGAAAAAAATGGAACAAACCGAACAAACAGAAGCTAAACATTTTGATAGGAAAGGGGCACAGAAGCCATTTGAAAGAGATTCCAATGGTCATAAATATCCATGAGCTCATATTGATATAAACAAATGACAAAATATATTAGCAAATTCCAAAGAAGAGATAAATGTGTGTGGAAAAATGCTGAATATATTATGTAGATTATCTGCCCTCAATAAGAGGATGCATGAATCCCTACTCTTTAAATATGATTTGTACATCTTGGTATTCTCAAAATCATGATAGTGTGGATAAAGAAAAAACAAAAGTAGTTTTTTAGAGCAGAAATGACACCATTTTTCAGCCAATGCTCAAGGTTAACAAAAAGTGTCATGAAGTATGTTGAGTGCATGAACTTTTGATATAATTTAAATATGAATAAATTTTAAGTTCTTGACTCTGTTAGACAGCCAGTAATTCCTTTATATTCTTATATCAGCAAATTTTTTAAATAAGAAAAATATGCCACTAATTTGGAATTAATTATTCACTTCTCTATTGAGTTTCATCTCGCTTTTAGCTTAACACATTACTGAAAGCTTTCCTTTTGTCTTTTTATGAGTGTGACTCAAAAAGTATGAGCTATAAAGAGTCATTTTTGAACATGTTAAAAGTATAATTTTTAGCACATCTTCCTTTAACACAAAATCTTCCTGCCTTTCTTTTATTCTGTTTCAGTAGAAGTATCTTCTGCAGGCGAAGAGGGCTGCTTTCACCCTCACTTTGAAAATCAAAGGTCTACAAGGACATGAATTTTGGTTCATTTTTGAAACAGTGCGTGCTCAGGATAGATGCTCAGTAAATATTTCATAAGTGGTTGCACTGCTGTACTATCTGCATTCGCCTCTAAAAATTTTCCTCCTACTTGGATATATTAATTGGAGTGATGGAGGAAGCTGGAATTGTTAAGTTAAAAAAAGACTCTCGATGTACCATGACATTTTGGGGTAAATGATAAAGAATTCATGGCAAAGTGGAACGAGTATCCGAGAGATGAGGGAGACCTAAGATGATACAGTTTTGAGGTTTTGTGGGAGACCAGTTTTTCTTTAAATGAAGTTCTCAATAGTAAATGTTTCAGAGAGCAATGGAGAACAACTGCAAGAGTGGTTGGTGTGGAAGCAAATGTTAAATCCTGAGAAAGGGCTTGAATGGCAGGAATAAATCACGTAGATTCCAATATGTCCATTAGTGTGCTTAGTATGAAATTGAGGGAGTGAATAAGCATTTTTTATTACTTCCTGGTAATACGCATATATATATATATATATATATATATATATATATATATATCCACCTATCCATCTATATATTGTCACATGTGCTATAATTAAAATGTTTCCAAGCATGCAAATATTTTACTGGTTTTTTTGCAAACATACTATAATAATTTCTTTCCAGAATGTTTTGAATTTAATGTCAGCAATAAGATTCTATATTGTTCAAGTTACTCTGTAATCTCTTTTAGCCTTGATCATAATGCAAAATACACATCCCACTTTCAATGGACATCATTCTCTTCAAATGTCATAGCAAGGATTCTATATTCCAATTCCTATTTTTATCTTTTTTTGCTTTCCTCCCTCCATACCCACCTCTCTGCAGTACTAAGGATTGGACTACTACTGCCTTTTTACTGAACTGCATTTATAACTTGATTAATTTAATTTTTGTTTTTAATTTTAAGACAGGACCATACTGAGTTTCCTGTTGTTACGATTCAGATCAAGAATGTGCCCTCAAAGCCTGGTGGGCTCAGTGGTGGTGCCTTTGGAAGCTGAGGTCATGGGGGTGCTGTAGCTGGCTGGCCACTAGGAGGGGGCCCTGCTCTGAGGAGGTAGGTCTCTCGGCATAGGACCTACAAGGGTCTATTTGCCTTCCTGTCTCTTCCTTTCCCTCTCAGCTTCCTGACCACCACCATGTGAGCAGGTTTCCTCTGCTCAGGACCTTCCACAATGCCATATCTACCTTTGAGTCAACCTAACATGAGCTGAAAACACAAACAAAATAAATCGCTTTTTTAAAATTTGTGAGTGTTGAGTATTGTGTCTCAATGATTAGGAAATGACTTAGACAACCAGAAGGGACTCAAACTTGAGATCTCCCTGCTTCAGTCTCCTAGAGTGCTGGCCAATTCTTTTCTTGACAGTCAAGGTAATCTTTCTTCTTTTGCAAAATAAAATAAATAAGTTACACTTTAATGTACATAAATAACAAATTGATAGCCAACAGTAGTAGACTCATTTTTGAAACCCTGTGCATGTACAAAGTACCTTTCAGTTTTAATTTTTTAAACTTTTATTGTTACAAACATTGTTAAATTCCTATCATCTTGTTTTGAAAGCCTATATTACTAGTGTTTTGGGTTTGTTGTTGTTTGTTTATCTTTTCTGCTTTTTGTTTTCCTTTTCTGTGTCTTTTTTCTCTTAAATAAATACGAACATATTGGCAGTACATAATGGTTACATTCATTATGAGAAATTGACATATGTACATAACACATTTCAATTTATTTTTCCCCTTCCCTCATTCTTCTTTTGTGTTTTAAGTTCTTATAAAGTTAATTATCACATGTATAGATTAACAGGCAGACTAACAGACCATATATGTATATACATATATGTATATCTTATGTGTATACACACACACACACACATATATATATATATATATATATATATATATATATATCCATAAGATAATTATACTAAATCAAGGTGTACTTTTAGGTACATTATCCATGTTGGATTACAATAAATTTTCTATCTTTTTAGTATTGTCTGTCATATATATTCTCTTACAAGAGAAACCATATGATACTTGAACTTATATCTCTGGTTTATTTCACTTAATATTATGATCTCAAAATGTACCCATTTTCCTACAATGACTCTAACATATGCTTTTTTATGGCAGATTAGTACCCCATTGTGCATAACTATCACATTTTGCTTATAAATTCATGTGTTGGTGGACATACAGGCTGCTTGCTATTATGCATTCCACAACTATGAACATGCATATGAATATGTCATTGTGCTGTGATGTCTTTTACTTCCATGGGAAGGTACCTAGAAGGGTCAAATGGAATTCCTACCTTTAATTTTAAGAAGTCTACACACTGATACCCATAATGGCTGTGCCTGTTTATACTCCCACTGACAATTAGAAAGGGCTCTTACCCAACAACCTCTCCAGCATTTCTTACTGTTTTATTTTTTGATGATAGCCATTCTGAGTGATATGGAGTCTGTTGTTTTAATTTTCTTTTTTTGAATGGCCAATGATGATGTTTTAATGAATTCCACAACAGCCTCATAAAAGAACAGGGTATGATGCCTTCATTTTAAGACAAGGTAAGGTGTTTATAATTAGGTTTGAGTTTATCCATTGTCATTGCTATTTACCATCTGTGTGACCTTAATCCTCTTACTCAACTCAAGTTTGAGTTCTTTATCTGTGTTAGAGTTGTCCTCACTTCATTCAGTCAATTACATAATAAAATAGTAAGATGTCTTATTTTTCATGTTCTTTCCATTGTTATGCTGCATGTAAGCAGATATAACTATAAACCCAGACTGCATTAGTTTAAAGGAAATATGGAAACATAGACTGTGCCTGACAAGGATCCTTAAAATTAAATTCAGTATTTTTGGTGCTCAGTGGCACTTATTTATGTCACTAATACAAAACAAATATTAATATTTGCTATGTTTTCCATTGATTATGTGGTATAATTTGCTTTTAAGTAAATTTATTTCAGAATATTTTAGAAATTATTCTTCTGTAATGTGTTACAAAGTTTAAGTCTCTCTAAAGGTAGATTTCCACTCCTTTAATAGTAGCATACAGAAATTACTCAGAAGATCTTTTATTCCACAATCTCAGAAACGGGGAACAGATAATGAGAATGTATTCTCAGACTTAATGTACTAATTCTCAATGGAGAGCTTCACATTTTTAATTATTTAATGATGTCATTTAAATATTATCCATCCTCTATGAATATTTTATGTTCATCAAAAATTCCCTGTAAAGGTAAAAATAACCTGTACATTTGTTAAAGAGGACAGTATCAATAATAGCTTGCAAAAGATATTTTTCTGCCTTTGACGTAGGAAAGCGTTTTTCCTTCTTAATCCAATCGTTTCAATCATTTAACTTTTTGAAAAGGACATAGACTAAGGGCATACAAAAATAATCTTGGAAATAAGTTAGAGTAATCAAGTAAATCTGGAAATGAGCTGTGTCTCAATCTCAGATGACCGTAGGAACATACGGAAAACTCTTGTTCCATGAGGATGGCTGGCTTGACCAACATGTGCTATGCATTGAATTGTATTCTCTTAAAATTCATATGCTGAAGATTTAACGTCCAGTATGAATATATTTAGAGATAAGGACATTAAAATAGATGATACAAATGAAGAGTAAAATATGAGCTGGGGATTTAGCTCAGCAGCATAAATGCCAGCCTGACAAGCATGAGGTCATGAGTTTGATCCTTGATACAAGAAAAAAGTGAAATATAAAGTAGTCCATAGGAAACCTGATAGAGAACTTCGGAAAATGGAAAGGGGACCAAGAGATGTTGGGGTGGGAAGAAGGGAAGGGGAAATGGATATAAAAGGAATTAAGATATGTCATGCACTGTACATGTATCAAATTGCTACTCACAACGAATGTATTCATTATGTATCACAAACATGTACCACCGAAAATAGAAAAAGTAAATAAGTTAGTAAAGGTGAAATTTTGTTCCTGTATGCCTGATACTCTTATAAGTAGGGATGATGTAGAAGTCTTTTGTTTCATTATTATTATTATTATTATTATTATTATTATTATTATTATTTTGTACTGGGGATAGAACTTATTACCTTGTGCTTGCCAGGTAGGTTCTGTGCCATTGAGCTATATCCTTGGCCATCATTAAATTGATTCTGAGGTGTTTTATTTTTGGGATGCTATTGTGAAAGATGTTATTTCCCTCTCAACAACTTTGTTACTCATGTACAGGAAAGTTATTGATTTTTTTATCAATATTTTCTCACACTGGTTTTATCACAGATATACCTGCACATTCCTGGACACATGAATCAATCCATATTATTTTACTAACATCCCAGTGAATTATAGACATTGTTAAACTCCTTTCTAATACAAATTACAAAAATAACTACACAAATCTAGCTTTCATATTCTTTTAGCCATTTTGCTATTGCTGAGACAAGATATTCAGCACACACTACTTAAAGGAGGGGAAGTTTATTCATGTCACATTTGGTGGGTTCAGTCTGTGATTGGTTGATGCCAAGACAGAAACATACGGTAGAAGGGCACAGCAGATGAAATCATATTACCCTTGACATCCAGGAAGCAGAGAGAGAAGAGACGTGCTGGGGATACAGATACACCCTTATGGATCACACCCTCTGTGATCTTCCTCCAACCTGACCCTACCTCCTAAAAGCAAGTCAGTTGTGACTGCGTAGTGGTCCAGTCCATTGATGGGTATATTGCCCCCTCACTAAGTTTTAAATACATGCAAATTTGGGGAACATTTTAGAACTAAACCATAACCCTTATTATTAGCTCTTATTAATACATTGTCATACGCAAATATATTGCTGAAAAATTGCATTCAATAAATATACATTTTTACATACACACTGACTAATTTTAACAACTGAAAGAATGTATGACCTAAACATTTATCAAGAGATCTTATTAATGTCAACACAGTAAAGCCTTTCATACCTAAGGAACACCCAAAATCTTGCATCAAGTACATCACTCTCTTGATTCTTTTCTCCACTTTAGATTAGTTTTCCACTTGTAAGATATCTCTGTCCAAGATAAGTCTCTGTGATGATGGAAAGGTTCTATGCATACACTGTGTGTTTTGTAGAAATATTGTGTGCTCTGCTGCACGGCAGTCATTAACAAAAGTGACTATTGAGCAGATGAAATATAAATGAGAAACAATTTCCAATTGCATTTAATTCAAATTAATTGGAACTTTAATAAGCAAAGGCAGCTAGTTGCTATTGTCAACATTTGTAAGAGTTTGAGTTTTTTGTATTACAGATAAACTAACAACTTTCATGTCAGAGATTCAGAGATATTAATTAAAAATGTTAAAATGCTTAGATAAGAGACAAAAGACCTAATCTTTCATAGTACTACATGTTAGGAACATCTTACATGTGCCTATTATATTTTGTTTGCCCCTGACTCTGCAGAAATGCAAGAGACTCAGAGACAATGAGCTTAAACAGCCACTCCACTACATACTTTATAGGAATGGGTGCTAACTATGTGTAATCTTTGGTATAAGGCTTCTTTCATTCAGTAAATTTTGTTAAGTACAATGCATGTACTTACTTCCCATGATGAGTGTAAACATTATATACTGAAAATATGTACAAATAAAAATAAAACTTATAATCAAGAGAAAAACTTACCAATACATAAAATGAAATAAAATATTGGTACGCATATACATTTTACTTTTAAATTGTATCAAGTAGAAGATAATAAGAGTTCTGGTCACGTTTGTTCCCAAATGAGAAAGAAAATATATGTGAGGGAGAAAAGATTTCTCAATCAACATAACATCTACAGCTGAGATTCCTACAGTAAAAGCATATTATCAAGAAATAAGCATAGAAATTTATTTTGTCTAAGTTTTAAGTGACATCAGAACCTTTGGAAGTGAAGAATGAAAGAAAAAGTAATTTTTATATTTTATGGATTACAGAAGTGTGGTTGAAAGCCAGGGGGCTTATCGATTCTGTTTCACTAGCCATTTTTCTGTGAATCATGCTAAGTACT